TACTTTTTTTTTTTCAGTGGCCCTTATCCTCTTCCATGGAGAGTGGATGTAAACACCGTCAGAAATAAAAACGGGAGGCGTTCCCGGTGACGTACCGGTAGATAACATGGATCCCAGCTTCAGGCTCTGGAACATGTCGCCCGTCCGCTTCCTCTTCTCACTCAGCCTGTATTCATCTGGTTGGAATAAGACCCAGTTAAGACTTTTTATACGTTTCACATCATCTTTGTTTGGAATAAATGAGGCGGTCTATTACCTGGGTCGGCAGGTAGGTACTGGAAGTCCATGGGCTCGCTGACCTCCCGGTCCGAGGGCCGTCTGAGCTGCATCTTCACCTTGATGGGCTCGCTGAGGTTAGTGTCGCGATAGGGAGGAGTGCGGAACACGATGGCCACCTGCCGGTGGACGTCGGCCTGAGAGAAGGTGCCCTTCCCCTCCCACGAGTCCTGGAAGAAGCGAACCTCGATGTCCTCTGCAGAAGAGCAACCACGAATAAAAAACTGCATAAAAGAATCCACTACATTACATCGCCACAGAAAAGTAATCACACTACTTTAAAAGTGTATCACAAACAAAGAATATTTTAGCTTTATTTTTAAATTGGTGTTTTTAATAACCAACAAAAAATGGATAAATGGCATTTTTTTTGTTCATAAAATGTTGAGTTAGCATACATTTATGGGGTAAACTTTGTTCCATTATTGTTGCAAGCAAGGAAGATTCTATAAATGAAAACTTGAAGAGAAAAAAGAAAATAAATTAAACTGAAAAAATTAAACAAAAAGAAAAGTTTTTGAGAGCAACTTTAGATTTTGTCCATTCTTTTCAAAGCTCAATTTTATTTATTTATTTCAGACAGTTTTATGAATTACATTTTATATATTATTCCATAATAGCCCGGAGCATATTCCTCATGATGCTCCAGGCTCTGTGAATCTACCACATTGTAACATGTAGACCTCTGTAGTTGGAAAAAAATGGAACATTTCTGCAAAATTTAAACCAATGTAGGGGATTCATGATGACGACAGCAACTAAAAATCCTGCAGAGTCGGCGTCGCTGCTTTGCTTTGTTTTTCACCCATGGCAACAGGAAAAAACAAAACTCTGCAGATGCAGCATGATTTCACCTGAAACTAGTGGTTTGTTTTTTTTCTTTCCTCTAACGGCAGCTTGATGCCGCATGAAGTTATTTTGGACGACAGAAAGTCGATCTGGAACATTTCTTTTGACTGGTAACAGGTCAGCCAGTCAAAACCTTCAATGCATGACAGAGAAAGTTTGTTTCAGGTCCTCCGCTTAACACTTGATGTTCCGCCATGTGACTTTATTGTTTCAGTCACAGTGAGTAAGAACCGTTATCTGACTCTTTATCTAAATCATATCAAGCTCGGAACTTGTAGGCCACATCCGGGTCATCCTGGGTAGGATGTCAGAAGCGTCAGAAGAGTTCTCTAACAGGAGATTTTTTACCGCCAAGCGAGATTTATAGAGCAAAATTTGTCCCACTATTGTTGCAAGTAAAAAGAACATGTTTTATGAATGAAAAATTTAAAAATAAATAAAATGCAAATCAGAACTGAAACTTTGAAAAACTTACTAATTAGGGTTTTTAAAGTAACTTATTTTTCGTGTCTTTTTTTTACCCTAAAATTGCAAATCTTTATATTAATTTATGTTTTTTAGATTGAGTTTTACAAAGGGAATTCGCTTGTCTTCTGAGGGCGGAAAGACGTATCTCTATGGAAGTAAATCTGTGTCGCTGGGATTTGAATTAAAAATGCAGCTGAAATTTAAATGTATGTTTGTACTTACTGTTTCAGTGTTAAAATATATTCAGAACACATTTTTGACCTAAAAAAAATTAATTGTCATTATTTCTACACAGTTGAAATTTCCTTTGCTATTTTCTCTTCAAGCTAAAAATTCACGTGACGTGATGCGTGTGGTGCTCATAAGGAAAA